ATTCAATTTTGAATGTTATAGGAAAAAGGGAGTGCATTAATTTTTTTTCAATAACAGGAAAAAGCAAGAGAGGCACTTTCTTCCCATGCAAATATGTAGGTTATTGTCAGCAAATGGCTCAACAATTTTAGGACTTCTTAAAAAAAAATAATCACAAGCCAAGAATATATTTTGACATTTACTTTGTTCTTCGGTGTGTGTGTCAACTCAGCAAGTAGGTCTACATGTAATATTTTTAATCCATATTTCTTTTGAATTAAGGAAACTCTACTGGACAGATGGAAACACAATCAATATGGCAAATATGGATGGTAGTAATAGCAAGATTCTCTTTCAGAATCAGAAAGAACCAGTTGGTAAGCATTGTTTTTAATAGTCAGTCACTACAGTGTTTAATGCTATAAATGTGAACTTGTTCAATATACCTTTGATTTAGAGCCTGAGAGAAAATACTACTACTACTATACTACTATAAATTAATTCAGGAATTGATTGATTTCCCTGACCTATATTGTGTTTATATTGGGTAAGTAGGAAACATTCTTTATATGGAGATAAATCCACTTAACATGAGAATTTTTACAATGTAATAAATACTGAAGTTACTAAAAAGTGTAATTAATGAATATCTTATTTTCAGTGGCATATATCTGATACAATGCTACCTAGGCAATATAAGTACTGATGTTTCCCCTGATCGTCACTATTGTGTCATTATTAATAGTTAACGATAATTTAGGTTTAGCTATTTAGTGTTTAGTCTTCAAAAGTTTTCACTGACTCTGTAATGTGTTTATTTAGTTTGGTTATTCTTTCTTTGACAATCATTGCAAATCATCAGATATAACAAGCTGCCAACAGAGAGCTCTGTCTTGCTCCCATAAAACATCTTTGAAAATTTTAAGTACAAAAATTCCTTGAGAAGACACATTATCTATGTCGACATAGCGATCTCTATGTTATAATATTGTTTAAGCACTCTTCCCGCATATTTTCTTGTATTTTGTTGAGAGACAAGAATAAACATATTGCTTCTTTGTCATTTCAAAATTCATTTTTAAAAAATTCAATGATGAAGCTATACTTTGGTATTAAATGAATAAATGATGGAACATACAAAAGAAAAGCCTAATTTTGCTTTGAGTGGAATATCGTATATTGTTTGAATCTGGGAAACGAACTGATATACCATGAAGCTTATCAGTAATTTTTTTCTTACTTTATAAATGTTGAAATATGCTGACTTGAAGTAGCTCATTTTTAATAGTGATAATTCAATAAAGGTGTAGTTTCACTAAGATTTAGAATAAATGATTCTTTTCATGTAGTCTATAGAACAAACCTCAGATATAAAATGATACTGGTAATAGCTCTTTTCTTTGGACTGTTTGTTCTAAGATTTGTACAAAATTGAAATTCACAGTTGTGTTAGAAATTAAAGGCAGATTGAAATGCTAATACTTCTGTGTGGAAGATGACAGAACAAAAGAAACAAGAAACTACAAGATTAGGCCCCATACAAAGGACTTAATTTGGACTAAAGCGATTCAGTTGGTACTTATCTGGAATTGTTCAGAATATTTAATACTGAAAAGTGAGTATGATGGAAGTAATATAAGCAAATCAAGTCCTTACGTTGTAAGACAAGCCATAGGTTATACCAAAATGTTCATTTATATTCTGGTTTCTGTATTGGGGAAAACCTTATCTTCTTTAATAAAAATATGTTTTCCTACTCAAAATAAATTAAGGGAAGAAACCCTAAAAGTTTAAGTTTATAAGACAGGAAACAGTGTTAAGTATTTGCAGTTTGTAGTTGGTCCCTGAGGTGTTAGGGACCTAACTACTCTAGGTCAATGATGTTTCAGTGACAAATATTAGATATCGACTCTGTCAGTTACTGTTATATTTGAAAATTATTTTAAAATATATTTTCAAAATAACACTTTCAGTGAGTTTTAATTTGTTCAAGACATACTATTTTGGCATAATTAGCTCAGAACTTCATTACAAATCATACCTTAAATCAAGATGGAGTGTGGCCTGTAAGACATTCATTTATTCAGTATATAGCATATTCGATTTTTAAAAATTATTTTTATTAAATCATAACTTTGTACACTGATGCATTTATGGGGTTCAGGATACTGCTTCACTCTACAATGTGAAATGCATACACTGAACTAAGTAACACATCCATCACAATTATATTCATTTCTTAATAGTTTTGAATTGTACCATTGCATCATGAACATTTGGACTAGGCCTGCTGGGTCCCTCTTTAGGATGTTCCTTGGTTCTTGGCTCCCAGGGCCAAGAATGAGTACTGGTGCCTAACTGATAATGGAGGGATCACAAATCAACATACATTTATTGCAGAACAAAAGCATATAAACTATAAGGATGATATATCTCAAAGAGTGAGACGTGACCCTCTCCATGAGTGGGGAAGAGATGGGAAAGTCTGGGCACACACTGTCTTTTGTAAGCTAACAAAGCTAAGTGGTTTGTCCTGCCTTTCTCCCCACCTTTGGGGTAATCGACAGGTTGGGATTACATAATAAAACTTCTAAATTTTAATTATAGTCATGGGCCCAATGAGCCCAGGTAAGTAGAAGGTCACTATGGGTTCCTCACTACCTGTTCTGACTAGGGGACAGTCCCTAGCTGTAACTTGCCTCCTACTCTTCAGCCTTAGCCACTCCCTTGCCACCTGTTTACTCTCCTAACCCACCAGATCTAACAGGGCTGTTGATAAAAATTTGACAGTATTCTTTTCCTTAAGAGGCACAGAAACTTAAATTATTTTAGATTCCATTAAGTAAATTTAAAATAGTGCCCTAGGCAAGTTACTGTTAGCTTGGTGGTGCTTGGTTTTCTTATTTGTACAATTAAGACAAAATGTCTCATGAGAATTGAGTGAAAAAACTTGTGAGGAAGAATATCTGGCTCTTAATATTAGAAACTATCAGTAGTAGCAGTAGCTTGTACTTTAGGTCTCACAGATTGGAATTGGAATGATTTGATTGTCTCTAAGTGAGTTTAGAGAAGAACATGGGTGGAGGGAGGGTGATTGGTGGGATCACGCCTATGGTTCATCCTATAAGGGTACATGTGAATCTCTCTAAATGTAGATTATAAATGTCTTAACACAATAACTAAGAAAAAGACTATGTTACCCAGTTGGATGAAAGTATTTCAAACTGTATACAGAAACAGTACACTGTACCCCATGATAGTATTGATGTACAGTGCTATGATTTACTAATAAAAAAACAAACAAACAAACAAAAAGAATAGATTCCATCCATATATGCCTCTAACATTTCCTTTGATAACATTCACTGATCTTAACTGACAACACAAATTAATGAATTAAATTGTTCAAAGTTGAAGGGGAAAAAGCAATTTCAGAAACCCGGAAATTAGGGACAACTTAAAGCAATTTTCACATGCATATAAAACATTCTTTTTCCTGTGTTTTAGGAACCACATAGTTGGAGAAAAGTTGTTAAGGGGAGCTAAACAAATCTGGATATGAATCTTTGATATTTTTAACTTTGTGACTTTGAAGAAGTCTCTCATCTTTTTCTAAGGATCAGTTTCATTATCTATAAAATGGATATAATAGTATCTAACTTTTGGTGTTATTTTTAGAATTAAAGCCACATATGAAATAATTATCTCATGTTCCCTCAATTCCACACTTATATACTCTAGAGAGATTTTATGTATGTGCTCTAGGAAATAAGTACAAGGAATTACATTAAATCATTGTTTATCATAATATACGAAATTTGAAAGGATACTAAATTCTTATTAGAAAAGGAATGAATAAATAAATGAAGCATGCTCATTGCTAAAATATAATACATACATATAAATATTTGTGTGTATGTAAACATACATAAATATATACATACACACACATGTTATATATGGAAGTTCAAACCTTCTGAAAGTTTGAATCTAAATCTGTTGGAATTAATGTGCACACGGAAACAAGAGTCTCACAAATAAGAGACTCTGAAAAGAGCCACATGACTGAAGTTTTTATACTATACAGAAAGGAACAGAGGCTCAGAGCATGGTGACAGATTATGGGGGGAGCAAGAAAAAGCTTGGCAAGCACGGGCTGTCTGGTTATGCAGATGAAGCCTCACAGGTAGCAGCCCTAGTAAAGAATAAATGGGAGCCTTTTTGAAAAGTTTCTCTATCAGACTAGAAAAAATGTTGGACTTACAGGCTCCTTTTCCCATGAGCTAAGTTTTTCCTAGATCTGGATAAGGCAAATAAGTAGGCCTCAAAGAAAGCGCCTGCATCTGCTGTTTTACTTCACAAATGTAGATTTTCTCTGCAGATGCAAGTTTCCCCACAAAGGACAGCTTTTCAGAGCTATTCCTGGGTCTGTAGCCCTCTGAATAACTATCTCAAAATATGTCGAAGAATTGTATTTTGGAGTGGTATATTTTGCTGTTTTTTTTCCCACATACGTCTCAAAAACATTGAGAAAAGTAATTAGCAGAATGATACTTGAATACTGATACCACTTAATATAATTTCAAAACGAAACACAAAGTATGAATATATATTGCTCCTAGATATATGTATTTATAAAACAGTGGAAAGAAGGAGACTGGAAATGTGCACACCAATTATATAATTGCATTTTCTTTGAGAAGGGTCAATAATAGCATCTGAAAGGGAATTTTCATCTTTATCAGAGAGGATTTTAATGGCCTAAGTAAATTTTAGTATATATTTAATAAAAAAGATTCAAATGAAAATAAAGTGTTAATAATATTTAATCCTATTTAGTAAATTACTAAATTTATGAGTGTATATTTTCTTCTCTCCTCTGTGTTGAATGCTGACTTCTTAAAATATTACTAAAACAACCTGTTGTTTAGACAAAGCTGAACTTCTTAAGCTCATCATAGAAAGGGGATTCCTAATCAGCTAAGTCTTATTAGTATCTCAGAGGGGGAAGGGCAAAGTTGAAACAGTAATCGAGATTTTTAAAACCTATTTTAAGGTAGGTCTTTCAACAGGAGACTTGGTTAGGATTGAGTAAGGATCATCACACAATAATTTCAGATCGATGAATACAGAGAGAAGATTTTAAGGGGAGGTGTTTCAGAGTCTTGAAAAACAAACTGTCATTTTATGCTTTGTTTGTTTGTTTGTTTTAAAGTTGATGACTATTTCGGGAAGTTCTTTAAATCAACTTATCTTCCTAGGCAAGAATTTCTACCAATAAGAAAGTTATATCATTGAAAACAGTAAACTAGTAAAACCAGATTAATGTAGGCAACAAGGTATGCTTTTGATTTTTATTCTGATTTATAAGACTAAA